GTTTTCATTGAATTTCACATAGCCTTGCTTTCCAAAAGGTTGTTCTCATCCTGGGTGGTCTTATCAACACCCTCACCGATGCGAGGTCGAAACTGCAGTCCATTTTGGATGAGAACAACTTTTGGGAAGGCAAGTCTATGTGAAATTCCATGGAAACGTCAGCTTAACTCATAGCATTGTGGGAAAATTCTTCTACCAGTACTTCATCACCCTAAACAAAATTAGGTGAATACATCTCATATTATGGTCAAACTTTAAACTCGATGGTTTGGAGTTCACAAAGGACTCCACATTTCTAATAAAAATTATGCAAACCCTAAAATTTGCCAAGACTAGTCATCTATACAGAGCAGAATTAATATTGGCTTCCCCAAAGAATAGAAATATACGATTAGGAGGAAACTAATTATTGGTGATTTTTGATCTTTGCACAGGAAAATTTCAGGATATAAGACACTAAAGACCCCGCTTGACATCTTGGATCGAGAAGGGAATAACTTAGAAGAGAAGAGGATCCAAAGGGAGTCTTAAAAAAGACTAGTCAATATGAAAATGGACACTTACTACTTTACACTCAACGGCAGCATCTATCAGACAATATTTGGACCTCCATTGAATGCCTTTGCAAACGTATATATGAACAAATTAGAAGAAAAATACGAAGCGTCACCACTGCAACCTGAATGTTCTTGTTTGCATATTAGAGAAAATTCACATGAAATTATTATGTTTTTCAAACAGGCCGAGAAAATATCAAACTCGCAATAGAGGTAGAGGAAAATGGGCGGCTACATTTCCTCAAGTTCAAGGCAGTTTGTTCAAACAGGACACTAAAGAGAAGATGTTTTAGAAAGGGGTCGAATGCAGGAATAATCTTTGATTTCCAGTTTATCACAACTTGAGAGTGTAGACACTTCTGAGGCCTAAGGTTCTCAAGCATGGAGTTCTAGGATGACAAATTTTTCAAATGAATTTGGCTGCTGCTTGGCAGCCGAAACTCGATAGAAATCACAAAAAGAAAAACTCCAACAGCTCCAAAATAATACTCAGTTTCATTTTAGAATTGCTTTTCACGTTTGCAATGTGATGAGCCAAACGGCTACAAGATCCTGCAGAGCGATAATGCTTATGTATGCTCATTCATCTTCCCTAACTTAGACTATGTTTCTATAAAATGAATCGATCTGTTCAATTCCTAAGTGAATAACTATAAGCACAGAGTTAAAATTATCAAAGTGTATCTGTGCTTACGATGGCCCCCTGACGATGCCGACTATGATGCCGGCGAACCGTTTGGGAATGTACCCAGCCAATTGTCCTTTGCCGTAAATCACAAATGCTATGGCAAAGGACACGAGACTAGGTACATTCTACAAGGTCTCCTTGACACTCCGACCAAGGTGCGAAAACAAGGTCGCACCAAGACTATAAAGCTGAGGGAGATTGTGACGAAACAGGCCACACCATTTTGGTTTTTATATCTACTCGCTTCATATGGCCCATCCACTTATGCATACAATTATGTGCTCTCGTTTCCTCCAATTTTGCCTGAGAGGGTGTCGCTAACAATGGGTTTAGGGAAGCGTAATCATCTCCAACACCGGTACCAGATGCCGCTTGCAGGGCTCCTGACCTACATTCTGTCCTCCATTTTTTCCTACTTGCTTGCCAATTGACCGCTGCTGAACATCAAAATCACAGCTTGGCTGTCTGAAATCTGGCTTCTTAAGATTCTTTAATTCCCGTCCTCAATTACGCCATGCCCATGCCCATGCACATGCCAGTGCATGGAAATCTTCCTCTTCCTAGGCTTCGAACACATGACTCGAGTATCCTCTCCGTCATCCCCACCCACATTTTGTCTGATTCTTTGGGGCCCTGTGTCCGGCTTAAGTCACAACTGCTGGTGTGACAATGCACTGCTTCCCTTTTTCCTTTTGAATCGTGAAAAGCACATTCCTCACGTCTCTCAGGTTGATGTTCCAATCTAAGCCTAGGATACTGCGATGATAGTCCTGTGTGTGTGTGTGTTGGCTGGTATCTCCCGTTGTCAAGCATGTCACCAGTCACCTCTCCTTCAGATACAGATATCAAAAATGCACACAACGCCTGCGCCCACATACTGGTTACCAATGTCTGGCCCACCTATAGTCTTCAATTTCATGTCCTACATCTCACAGGTGAACTCCCTGGGTAAATTATTTTTTTCCCAATTCCTTATCTAACTCCTCTCAATGCAGTCGCTTTTTCTTGATTTTCCTTTGTTCCTCATGTGCCTCTACTTGGTGATGCCTCTTCCTGTTGTTGAACAGTTGTCTTGGCTACAATCGTCTTCTTTTTGATGTATTCGCTGAATCTTCGAATCTGCTCAGGCAGTACCCTCCTCTCTTCCAATCTCCTTTTCACCAGGTTTCTTTAAAAGAGGATGTCCACAGCCTCCTTGATCTTCCGTTTTGTACTGTTTTCACCATATGAGGCCAGTCTTTCTACTGCATTCCAGTGAATTGTGTAACCGCTAATGGCGATATGTTTAGCTATCTCCGATCTTTCCGTATCCATTTTTCTGTATAGTAGCTGGTCGTCTTTGATCCTTGTGTTGAATGTCCTTCCCGTCTCTCCGATGTACTTTTATTTACAAGCTTGCAGTTTATAATGTAAACTCAGGAACACTGAATTTTGTTGACTTCTTCATGTTGTGTGGGCAAGCTGGTGAAGAGGGCTTTCTTTTTCTTCAAGATTGTACGAATGTTCCATTTTTCTAGTATTGGCCGAAGCTTCCAAGCCAATTCGCAGGTGGGTAGACATATAATAAATTATTCTTCTGCTCCTCTTGCTTTCCTTTCATAGTTTCCATCATTCCATTAGTTCATCACCATCCGTATGTTACGTTGTATTCCTTCTTCTTGATATCCGTTTCCAAGACACATTTGAGTAAATTTTCTCAGCTCCTCTTCCCATAACTTAGAATCTGTGAGTTTCTTATGACCATACTCCGCAGTATTTCAATCTTCCTCCCATAAGTATGGTTTAACTGGAAGTTACGAGTTATTCCAAGTCTTTTCTTGTAAGCTTCCTCGAAGCGAATGATCGCTACTTTTAAAAGAAGTAAGTGTACGTTCTCTTCCACATCCATGGTAAATTTGACTTTTTCATCTATTTCGTTTAATTTTTCTCTTCCATGCGACCAAATTGCGAATAAGTCATCCAAATATCGCATAATTAGTGCTTGTTGCTGGGGTGACATTTTGAAACTATCCTCCAACTTGTCCATGAATAAGCTAAATAACAGAGATGTGAGTGGTGAGCGCATAGACAGACCAAATATTTGCTCATAGATGCGGCCTTTGAACTTAAAATAGGTCGTTCTTAATGTTAGCTTGATTAATCGGGTTAGAGACTCTTTTCACATTCGCTCTGACTCCAGAATGTCATTTTCTTTTTCCAAAGTCTCCAGTGGTACGGTGAGTGCTTTATCTCCTGCGATGTTAATGTACATGGGCTGTACATCAGAGCTCGCCAAAAGTTAGTTTCCTTGCCAACTGGCGCCTTTGATTCTTTGGCAAAATTCGTATAGGTTCTTCACTGTATTCGATAGTCGGTCGTTCACTTTCTTTAAGTTGAGGCATGTTTGTTGTTGATTATCAGTCTCAATGGTTCTCCTTCTCTATGTACCTTCGGCAAACAGTATGCTACTGGGGCTCTTGCATCTCTTCGTATGAGTGAGTTCGTCGTCTATTTGTCGATTTATTCATTCCCATTCATTTTCTTCATCATTTATTTCAGTGCCCCATTGATTTTAACTGTTCGGTCCTTTGTTAGTAGTCGATACGTTGTGGTGCCCCCGAGAATATTTTCCACTTTCTCTCTATATTCCTTCCTGTCCGTCATCACTGTAGCACCTCCCTTGTCGGCTTGCAGGAGTATTTGAGCGTTTCTTTTCAATTCTCTATATATATCTTGGTTATGGTGTCCCTATGTGTGGGTTCTTGATTCGCTAAGATCGTTGGAGTTATTTCCATTTCCAGCTCTCTTTATGAATTTTAAGGTAGCTTTTCATAGGTATTTATCATCACAACTAAAATGTCCTTGATTGCATTCCTTTCATTCCGAAGTGCCAAATTTAGTCCCTTTTTGAGGATCTCTGTAGTTTCCACGTCAAGAGGGATGGAAGACGAATTCATTACTTTATCCTCATTTCTTGTCTCGACTTTGTGACCCGTCAGCCTAGAGGCATCTTCATTTTTTCCAGATGGTTGGACTTTGGACTGCCCATGGATTCCATATTTATTTAGCTTCTTCCGGTGTATTTTTGGGATTAATTCCAGTATCCTTTTTGCCATTTTGTCAGTCATCTTCTGTAGTTTCATGAAATCCTTCAGGGTGAGAAACTGACTCAAATCATGCCTGAGTCTATAATTAATCTCTAAAATCTTAAATAATTTTACACTCTCCCTACTAATTGTCTCCTCTAATTTTTGCAAATAAATTTAATATAAAAAATAATAATATATATATATAATACATTGACTGTATAGGAATGATATTTTCTCATCAAATTGCAAAAACTAGGAGGGATGCCATAATATTTACAACAGTTAAGAGCGGTCAAATGACGATATTGACTTAAGATTTATTCCCTTGATCTGCTTTAATAAATGCATTTACTGGCAATCTTACCACCGTAATTAGATCGTAGCTATGAAGACCAAGATGGTATGAATAAGTTGATTGTCCATAGGAAATTGGGTTGAGAAAAGGAGATGCGGCACTACAAGGTTGAACAAATAATAGGGGCGAGGAGTGATGCTACAGCGGTTGAACAGCAAATTGGTCAAGGGGATTTTCTTCGCTTGCCACTTATATAAGATGGCACCTCTTGCTGACGATTCCGACTACGATGCCGGCGAAACGTTTAGGAATGTACCTAGCCAATGTTCCAATTTTGGAAATCATGAAGAAGACACGGGACTTAGTAAGTTAAACAAGGTCTCCCTGACGCTCAGACAAAGTTGCGAAAACAAGGTCGTACCAACACTATTTTTGTTCTAGTTCAAAGAGCAATTTGCTCAGACCAAGTTGCGGAATCTAGGTCAAGCCAACGATAAAGGAGACTGCGACAAAACAAAAATGCCATACCATATTTGTCTTCTAATCTACACTTTCGGTAAATGAATAATGAATTGCAAAAGAAGTTTCGGCAACGTATTTTAAAAATTCTTTTTATGTAGTAGTAGCATTACAATTCATTTTAAATGGTATTTTCGAACGGTTAATTATAATGAATTTTGCAACTTTATCAATAAATATAATTGAGGAGTTTTGTGTTGTGCTTACCTGGATTGATGGAATGGAATTTAACATATTGTTAAAAAGAAAATTCCCAAAAAATTATACTAAATTTGCGAGAATTTAAAAATGTAAATGAAGAGAATGTAAGAATCACATTAAATTAATGAGAATAATGACATAATAATGTTAAATATATGCTCTCGATTTCAATATGAAGACAAATTATTTGGCCCTGAAGTGTTTTGTGATTATTTTCC